GGGGGGGGGGGGAAACGTCCCGAGAAAACCACCGAATATTCCCTTGCCGTCGCGGATCGTCCGGCGATTATTTTCCTTTTCGAATCGATTTCCCCGCCGACGGAGATGCTCGACGGACGATGGCATTCGTGGCATTTCCGAGCGATCGTGAACGATCGTAAAGACCGAAGTCTCCGATGAATTAAAGTGATGGATGACGAAATTATACGGTGACGTGATCCCACCGATGTTTCCACCGGTGGAAGGACATCCTCGGGCCGTCCTCGGCGAATTAGCGAAGGATCCGCGATCGAAAGGGTATCCGGTAGTTTCGGGGCACAGCAAGATCTCCGGTTCTAGCTCCGTAGCAGGATCTTGTGTGCGAGCATACGACTACGTTTATGTTAGCAATCATCCAGGAATCGCGTCAGAACATCGCACGGACTGTTTGCGAAAGTGAGCTCTATCTACCAGATGCACACTTCTAAGAATCGAAATGCATTTGATGATCGTGCTGGTGTTTCCTCCAGATTTTCCTTAGATTCGGTAGAGAGAGAGGATTGCGGATTCGCTTCTCGATCTATTCGCGTCATCTCGCGGGTGTAGAGGCGACTCGTGAATCGCGGCATAGTCGTGTAAAGTTTCGAACAGAAGCGAACTTGGGGATGACGAGCGCCGATCGCTAAACGACTTCAGGGCGAGTTCGATCGAGTCGCCGAGATTTTCCGAGAGAGAGAGAGAGAGAGAGACGCGTAGTTGGTCCACGAAAGTTGCATGCGAACCACTTCACCTTTTCTCACCAGATGCTCACCAAAACGTAACAACGTTAACATCGAATGCTACACTTAAGAGAGATATTAACGACGCGGTTGAGGTACTAATTGGCAATAACAAAATGATTTTACTCGCTTGGCTACTCATCGGCGACTAATATCGGAGCCTCGTGCCGGGACTTGCGGATTATAATCACACGTAACTCCAGCAAACACGCCGACATAACGTTTTAAAACGGTCACCTTAACATGACGCTAATACATCACTCTCGCTGACGGCCATCGTAACGACGCTTGACAGGGGCACGCTTTGTTCGGGGCGCCGAGTAGCTGTTGTGCCGATTGTAGTCTGTTGAAATTATAGGATTTCGTCGAGGCGGCGGCGGTGGACATCGTGGCGGCGGCGGCGGCGGCGGCTGCAGCACTTGCGGGTAATTTCCACACGATATTATTTACAGAATGAGACGGTGAATCGGCGTCAAGTATGCTGCGCCGCCATTCCGTAAATCGAGACTGTTTAAATTAAATTGAATTTTAACTGCTCCTCATATAGGCGATACGCAAGGAAAAAGGTTTTCCTTCTTCAGATTTATTAGTATTTCTATTTGACGGAAATTCTTTTCTCACAGAAACAACATTTATGAAATATCACCTGTTTGAGTAAAAGTTTGATCGTCTCATTCGAGAAAACTCGATTATTTAACAGAAAGAACCCTATTATTTGAGATGATATCCTTTAACAAAATAAAATATTATTTGGCCGCGATGAATACGTGAAATGAAACGAATAATTTCTTCGTAAGAAAATGATCTTTCGTTTCAAGCAAATTTGTTTTATTTAAGATGAAGATATTCGTTGAGAAGTCTAACAGTCGTGCTTATTAATCGGAACGTTCGTTCCTCTGGAGCATGCCAATGATGAAGTTTGTTTGGATGCGGTAGAATTTCTTAAATTTGAAAAAATCTTTTTCTCAGTGTACCAAGGAAAGAATTAGAAACTTTTTACCATTGCATCGGCGGACAGTTCCTACCGAGGAAATTTTAATGAAATATTTATAACAGCCGCGATATTCCCGTTCGTTTGTTAAAAAAAAAAAAAAATCGGCCCCGCTGGCTTCCGATTTGCAAGCAGATTGTATTTGAAAGTTGCGCTCCATGCTAAATCGTTCGCGACTTTGATTTAGCATTTCTTTCGTATCCACAAGTATCTCTTAACTCGCCGCGATATTTGCATGATTCGGCCATCGTCGGTGCTTTATGCCACTGTCTCCTTCGATTCCTCGTTAATCATGACTCTGTTTTTTTCGCATCTCCAGCGGAGGTGGCTCCTTCGCCCATTCCCAATCTTCGGCTTCCGCGTCTGCTGGCAGTTGGTAAGTCGCCGCCGGGACGGTTAATTTCGCTGTCGAACGGCGCTCACACGGCGCGATTAAAACGTCACTTTCTTTTCCAGGGGTAAATGAGCGAAGCGCGCGTAACCACGTAAACACGTTGCCATCGGCGATTTATGCTGCCTTGACGTCTCACAGACACGCGTGCGAGTACAAAGAGTGCGGATCCCGCGGACACACCGATCACCAGCCAGGCGAAAACACCGCGATAGTCTCGAAATATTGTAACGTCTAACGCATTCTTGTTCATTTGTTTGTATAACACACACATACACACACACACACACACATACGAAAACACATGCAAATAACAATAATCGATAGTCCCGAAATATTGTATAACACATTCTTGTTCATTTGTTTGTATAACACACATACACACACATATACACACACGTACACACTTGTATACGGCAAATGGTATCCGCGAATAAATAACAAAACAGGTTTGGCTCTAACAAAAAAAAATCACGATTCACCGTGTTATTCGGGCGTAAACGGTTTCGCGGAAACAATCACGAGGGGTTCGTGGATTGGTTTCTCACCGGCAGAAAACGGAAGAGGAGCCGTGCGCGGCGACGACGACGAGACGAGCGTTGCGCTTCTTCTTCTTTTCGCGTAGCTTTAATGACCTATTCATTTCCATGCTTCTCGATAAAGCCGCACTTATGATAATGAGACAATCCATCATTGCACACTGTCATTATCGTTATTTTCTTTTCCTCTCCGGTTAATCCGCGCGAATCCGCGAAACCGGCAAGTTCCCCCTCCGGAGGAAATCTTCGCGAGAAAACGCCGATTCCGCTAATCTCTCCTCCGTATTTGCGCTAAGTAATTTTCTGACGTTGTTACGGTAGCTCGAGAAAGAGAGAGAGAGAGATTCAAGAATGTTTATCGAATGGAACTACGAAATAGATTCCGCAAAAAGGGGAGCGCATACGGAAAGAAAGAACATTCCCAAAATAAGAATTTGCTACCAGCGAGATATTGGCCTAGTTGTGGTATATTGGATGCCTATTCTAGTTTGATGTTATAGCGACGATAGAAACGCATCAACATCGTAACAGTACTGAAAATCAATACCGTAACAATACCGAAAATCAGTACCGTACAGTACAATACAGTATAGTACAGTAGTACAATACTATACAACGTGGTACAGTACGATAGAATAGAATACAGTAAAGTACAATATAGGGTAATTACTTATCAAAAATATTCTTCATAATTTCTAGAATATTTGTCATCACTTGAGAGGACGAAAGAGAGAATGTATCGAAGCCCGAGTAGCTCAATGGCGAGAACAGACGCCTGGAAAGGAACAGATCCCGAGTCCCTGTCCAGCAACCCCGATGTCTGGACTTTTCTCCGTCTCGGACCATAAGAGTCAGAACTTATACTTAAGATCATCTTAAATTTATCTTCAGATATTGTACAGGTCGTTCTGTTTACTACAAAGTATCTGAGGGTCGAACCTAACTTTAAGACGGTCGTCTTGATTATAAGACCTGATTTATATTTCGAAGCGGAGACGGTTTATATTACTGGAGGAAGATTATTTATTAACGCACATTTGATTCTAACATATTACTCGAAATAACACGGGGTTCATCTTTCTGAGAAAATTTGCTTCCAAATGTTTCAACGAAACTTATTATTTTCACAATAATCAAATATTGCGATCTGTGTAATGGACTACTATCGGTGATTTTGCGATGACACTGCAATATCGTTGAGTAATTAATGAACATTTGGGAAAGCCTCGAGGAGACACGAGACGCGGGGACGGATACGGACGTTACTTCCCGAGCGTTCTCCGCCGACGGCATGCTTGAGAGCCCGTTCCGCATTATCAATTCGTTGTAATTCACCGGGGAAGCCGCAACCGCTGGCTCCGCTCGCTCGCCTCGCGTTTCCCGGCGACTCGCGATGGCGAGGGCCAGTTCACGATCGGCAGCGCACCTTCTGTATCTAGGCGGGCTTCAGCTCTATAAATACGAGAGCGCCGGCATCGAACGGATTTCAGCGACGCCGAGAGGCGAGTGTCCGAGGCGGTGTAACAGCGAGCGAGGCAACAGTAATTACTGTTCGCGCGAACGTGTAACGGTAAAGGTTTCGATTCTCCTCTTTCCGCGGCCGGGTGGCAGAAAGAGGGAACCGGCGCGGAACGAATTACCCGCCGAAACCGTGAAGCCGAGAGAGGGAGACGAGAGAGAGACCGGTAGCGGATTCCTCGCCGGGCGAGCGAGAGCGGCCGCTGCAGCAGCCGAGACGAGAGAGGATCCTTTTCAGCGACCTCATCGGCGTGATTAACCGCTGGAAATAAGAATATCGCGCTCTCGCAAGCCGCGAGGAGGGTAAATACCGGAGGAGCGTTAATCGCTTCGTGCCGATTAAAGTGGCATATTCGCTCATCATTTGCTACGCGCGTCAGCAACTACCTGCATCTCTTCTTTCCTACCCCTCCCCCTATTAATTTCACGGCCGTAACGGCGCGCACGCAGCGCGTCTCTCTGTGTTCTTTATCCGCGAGAATAATTCCCCATCATCCGTGTCCCGTCTACGATCGGCCGCCCCTATTATTGTACCCGGGACCGTTTGTCGGGGATCCGGCGAGGAGAAAGGTGAGATTTTCATCCGGATCTGTTCTTCTTCATTAAATTAGCGCCACGCACTTGTGGAACTCGGAAAGAGATGTACTGTTAAAACTCGGCGGAGAAGAAAGGAAACTAACGGGACAACACCAAAACTTTCCTCGCGTCGTTCGACGACAGAAGGACGGAAGTTCGCGCGAGATCGAAATAGATGTTGAAAATGCAAAAGCTACGTTATAAAATAAGACACGAATCAAGGCGAATAAATTACTTGCCGCTGATGTGTTGCCGGAATTGTCGGCGGAGGGAAGCTCGAGGGAGGTTCGGCACGACGAGAGATCAAACGGGCGCAACACGTTTGAAAACGGAAACTTCGGCTCCGACCGCTGCGCACGGCGGACGGAGTTCAAGTGCTATTCGACGAAATCTGATACTTCACATCCGAGAAACGTGGATATGTCGGTTTGCCATACCCACCGTCGATTTGGACGCTTTCCCTCCGCCGTTCAGTCGTAAGAGTGACGGGACACGTCACGCGGCGGAAAATGTGGGTCTGCGGGTCGTCGAATACCCATTGAGGCCCCGATCGGACGGATCGCGCAGGCAGGAGCCGAGGACTTTTCTTCACGTTCTTCTTGCGGCGAAGCGTTGCGCACAATCGCCCCGTATTTTCTGGTCGTTGACCGTCGCCGGCCGGCGAACTCGCCGCGGACTCCGCGGCTCCGGGAAAAACTGGGCGAGCCGGGGGCAGATCGTAAAAACTCACTCAGACGAGTGAAGTAATTGTATCTCCGGTGCCTCCCTCGACTTCTCGGAGGCGCTCCCGGCCAGAAATTCACACACGTGCGCGCCACTTCCATTTCAGAGAGAACCTCGAAGACGCCGTCGTCGGGGACGGCGCGAGAACCCGGCCGAACGTATACAATCGCGCATCTATTAGGCGCACAAATTCATTCCTGCGCATTTTAATAGCGCTTCTTAAGCTTAAGCTCGCCGCTTTCAAATCACCCTATGTAGGGGGAGAAATTTCAATTCGAGATCCGGGGTTGCGGTGAAATGGAAGAGGCGCCGAATGAATTCGTACAGCTGATAAAACGGTACGGCGATGATCGGCGTTATTATTATTCGTCGGATTTGGAAGATACCGGCGGAGCGAGGAGAGATCGCGCCGGCGTCACGAGCAAAACGTCGTCACCGCCGCACACTTGCCGCTTGGAACGCGGGTAATAAGAGGAACACGTTGTGTCGCTCGATTAATAACTTATATCGCCCCGCGCAAATCGCGCTTCTATCCGTTATATTAAAACGTCAAAGCATCGCGCATCGTGCGGTTAAAAACGCACGCTCCGACGGATTAATGACGGTCGCCCGGTGTAAGTGTAATTCAATGCGCTGCTTCCACGAGATGAGAAAATGATCCCCAGGAAAAACCGGATTCGCGCGCGCGCCGACCGCGGCTGATTAACGCTTTGTAGACGAGACCGTATCATGTCGATAAACGACAAATCTGTGATATTGAGCGGCCGGTGACAAAAAGGAGATCGTTGATCGCGCGATCGTTCGAAGAAAGAAAAAAACAGAGATCCATTAATACGATCGTCGCGAAGCTGCGTTACGAATCGTAACCGGCATCGGAAATCACGTATACTACTATTAACACACATATACACACACGTAAATATATATATATATATATGTGCACACACACACGCGTACGTACGCAAAGTTTGAAGTCTCACGGAACTACAGTCCCTGGCCACATTATTAGACGCACTTTGGTTTTTAATAGAATACAAGTTAGGAGGAGAAGGAAAGTTACGAATTTCGTTTACTCACTCGACGCGAATAATTTTCGGTGTCCGGACAACGCTTTTATCTCCGCAACCTTCTGCGTCGAATCATCTCGTTTTATCCGCAACTTGTGTAAACAATATTAATATTTTTCACATCCGGAAATGTGATTTTTCTGCGTGGTAAGCGAGGAATCGGAAGCCCCGAGTCACGGATAAACAAAAGTAAAAACTTTCAATTGACACACTCACACGTCCGTTCTCGTTATTACCAGCGACGCAACCGGCGCGGGTTCATATTTGTTCAAGGTTCATCGGTAACGGCCAAGCGAAATGACGATGATAAAACACACCTTTTACAGAATAACGATTCCTCAACATCATTCGATCGACAGATGAGCGGTATTACAAAGCTGGTCACCCCGGGAGTCATTGAAACGTGAGAAATCAAGGTGCGCCTGATAAAACGCCGGCGGGGACTGTATTTCAAGAGGACATCGCCGTCTCGCTCGCTCGCGTGTTTTCGACCGATTCTTCCTCCTTTCAGCCGACGATGTACGGCAAATATGCCCGATCATTCGAGGCATTAATCATCGTTTGCGTAGTAGCACGCGACCTAATCCACTACTCCGTTATTTCACTTTTTGCGGCTATCGGGGCCCGACTACCCGAGCGCTATCGGTGAATTAATAGCGTTACCGTAAATTACAGGTGAATGGGCCGCGTATTCCGGGCGTACATGCGCCGCAGGTGAAGGGAACGGAGAACCGTCTGTTCTCGCACGCACGAAGTAAGCAAGCGGTGTATCGCAGTTATCACCACGGTTTAAACCCTCGTACGCGCCCGCGTACGTTGAGTCACGCTCCCGATCTGATTCGATGTGTGATTTTCGATCCAATTAGAATCTCTTCGGGCTCGC